CTAAGTTGAATCGAATCGGGACTTTGAAAACCGGAATCGAATGGATTATAGAAATCAGTGATGATACCCAGCCCTAGTGAGCAGCCTAGGCACGACAGAAGTGGATGTAGCTGTAATAGGAAAAGATAACTATTGCTAACTTTTCTGTTAAGTTAAGGCCTGATCCTTCTGAAATTCATAGCCAGTGCTCTGACACGGTGTCATCAATCTTTGAATGCTGAAAAAGCACAGTGTATCCAGAAAAACACATTATATTATATAAATTATTATGAAATTTGTGTGCGCCTAACTTTTGTGCCGGTACCGGTACGCCCATGGCAAAAAGTTAGTCTAGAGCCCTGACAGGTGAAAATAAACGCAGCAAACCTTTAGTTATACAACATTAACAATTAGGGTGTAAATGCCAAATAAAGGCAAGGTTTGATAACTTTGTAACTGCATAATCTCTACTCACTTGTTACAGTCAGGATTTAGTTTTCATAAAAGGTCATTGCTGAGCAAAGAAGTCTGATGCAAAGCAAGAACTATGAATCAGCAGCCTGTTACTCCACTACATGGGGACATGACTAATGGTAACATAAAAATCTAATGTTGTGGCTACATGTATTTTAACTATATATGTATATATATTTTTTTCGTTTGTTTAATGTTTAATGCCTGAAAAATTGTTCCACATTCTGCACCACAAATTAATGTAGACAGGAATTTTTGTTCTAGCATACATAATATTATGCAGGCGAGCTCACTTTAGTAAGCGGTACTACGAGTAAGCAAGTTCTGAAAGTGATGAACAACAGGTCTGCAATTGCTGAGCTAAATAACCCTGATAAACATCTCATAAAAGAAAGGCACACCAGTGCACTTCTCACACAATAGCAACCCGGATGTTAGACTTATAGATATTCATGACGCTCCTAATTATGCGACACATAACTCAGCAACGTTTGAGCAAATACCAGCGCCCCTCCCACTTCCTTCTACATCAGCTTGCATAGTCTGTTTAAACAGGGTAGGAGTGGCACCATTGTACTACTCCAACATATGTGAGTGTTCACACTGACTGCTTGTTAGAGTGACAGTCTTGACTCAGTAACAGTAGTGAGTAATTAATATCCTTCTTTTGGTTTATATGAAACGCTTTTGCACATGGGAAATGAATACTAAAACCTGCAGGAGAATTTTTATGAGCTCTGTATCCAAATATTCAACTATTTTAATGTTCATTAGGTTGTTATTCAGCAATCAAATTGGAAATATAAACAATTTGTTGCTAATTTAACAACTGTTTTATTTTTAAGCTTCTTTGCAAAAGAAATAAAATACAAGATAGACTGTATCCTACACATCTTAACAATGTCTTGCTTGTTTGGCACAGGAACAGCACTCTGACTCTTTCTGACATGTTCAGTGGGTGAGTGGACGGAGAGGTTTCAAAAAGTGAGACAGCAACGGGGCACAGCATGAGAGAAAAGTTAAACCTGCTGTTGCTTCCAACTTTCTCTCCGAGTTATCATTTTATACACAGATGAAGATGAAAAAACACCACAGCCATTGTCTTTAACACATGGGCTGAAGAGCTCACCTTGGGAAGTGTTTATTATTCTGGACAGCCCTAACACTCAGTACATCCAGTGTCTTTATTCATTTTATGTCAAAATGGTTCCACTCATTAGTATATTTTTCAGTCAGCATAATACCATAAAATTATTCTAAAACGTAAAGCTGTATATAAGCTAATCAACCGGTACACTGCACTAATTAAGCTGATTCAAAACAAAAACAATATAATACAACATAGACTAAATCTTGAGTGCCTTTTATTCTGACATTTGACACATGACATTGTGTCCGGTTACACCTCCCTACAACACCGGTAAAGAATAAATGGACCAGTCATCTCAAGAATAAGAACTGGTTTTACTTCTTCACCATCAGGATGAAAATGTCGGTCACTCTACTCTAAATATTAGCACTTTGACACAGCTCTTGGATGCCACATCACCACTAATAGCCAGTAAGAGGGGATGTGTGAAATTCTAAGATGAGAGAGATGTTAAAAATAAATTTGGCTATGTTTTTTTGTTTTTTTGTTGGGTTTTTTTTTTTTGGGGGGGGGGGGGGAGTGACTTTACTACTGCTGCATATTACTGTGAAAACAAATCTTTGTATGCTGTTGCAAAAAGGAATAAAAATATTGTTCTGTTGGATTTTGGTTTTTCTCCCTCTACTCCCTATACTGCTAGTAGTGAATGTAATCCTATGTGCTTACAGGGTAATAACAGTCAAAAGATGAATGTTGCCCAATATCAATCTTCAGCAGATTGACATTATACCTATTACATCTATAGTAATAAGAACACACCTCAGAAGCTAGACAAAACAAAAGAAACATGTAAAAGTAGATGTGTTAATAAAATAAAAAGTGGTTATCAACTTACCCCAGATTGGCAGGTCATCTATGTACATTTGGTACCAGTAGTGATTCTTTATGGCGTAGACAAAAGCATCCCGTTTGGCTTTGTCCAACTCTATTTCACAGTATGTTGACTGCATGACTTCCTCTACAAAGATAAAGATCACATTTTTAGTAAGTGTAGGAAGTTTTGTGGAATTAATAAAGCCAGACATCCAGAGACAAGCAACATTTTTTAGTTATAATGCTCTTGCTGATTCAAAAGTCCTAAAGAGGTGGAAGTCAGTGTAAGTACCTTTGAACTTTATTTGCAAGCCGCTGAATTCAAGCTCCACTCCCTGCAGAGCCTCTCCAAGTGTTTCATGGTAATGACTGATGGTCTTCTGGGAGCCCGCACAGAAGGGCAACGAGAAATACTTGTATGTCTCCTGTCGGTTGTGGTAAGGCCCCACTGTGTTCATCCATAAAACTACCTCCTCCTTATCTGTGTACTGCAAAAGGAAAACAGGAGGACTCTTATAATTAAATCCAGGAATGCTACACCAGTTCTGCAAGTACTGCTGATGTCCTATTCTTATTCTATCGATAGTGCACCAAAGAAACTTCTGTGAGTTGCCAACAACTTTTAAAACAATAGCAGCAACTTTCAGAGCACTATCACGTTATAAATCATGCAAACAAATGTAAATTTCAGGCTCTTTTTACACTGTTATCGAGCCATCCTCGTAGCACTATTGTGTGTTAGCTATGTGTACCACTGGCAAGGAAGTTCTCGTGAATGCAACATCCGCCTCTTTACTTAACAGCTTCCACATTAGCGCCCCATTTATAATTAAGACAATGTAATGCACATTATTATCTTGTTAGCCAGGTGTAATTAGGGCGGCTGGATCTGACAATGGAGAACAAAAGTAATATGAAGAGGGCCTTAAGTTTAATCGATGTCAAGAGTAAATGTTTTTCATTAATTGTGTTTGCGAGGCTAAACGGACGGCAGTTTTATAAATCTTGCCTTTGATTAACTAACTAACGTTAGCTACAGGCTAATTAGCTGCTAACTTAAGTGTAGCTTCCGCCGGTGCTCAAGTAAGGTTGCAAAGACCAGCTTGGAGGATGTGCTAACAAGCTAGCAAGCAAACGTTACTCATAAGCACTTAGGCCGATAAGTAGTGACAACTTAGCCGGCTAAATGAATGCCTACCCGTTTGATAGCTCACCCAGTATCAGTATATAACCCACAAAGACCAAGTCATGAACCCTGTCACGTTTATAATTCTGTTTTGTGGGGTGTAGCTAGCCGTCGCGGCTACAGTTAGCAGGTTACACAGAGCACAAACGTCCATTATTTTCAAGGCTCCCCCTTTTCAGTCGGCCTCTGAAAAAGGTGTCTTACCGTGTGGTCATGTTCGTCTGCGTCGACAGGTGATAAAGAACATACAAGTGCGAAAACCACCGCCGCTACCACCTTCCACCTGGAATATCCCATTATTTTCGGGAAAAAAAAGTGTGCAGAAAGACTGGGGATGTTAGCTTTGCACGGCTATCCCACCTTCTTCCTGGTTGTATGACAGAGGCAATTTTTAGGGATGCTCTCGTACGCATATGGCGTAAGAGCCTCATGAGCGTTCGTCGTATGCACGTTCGATTGGCTGAAAAGAGGCACGTGGCTGACGAGGTCCAGTCAGCGCAGAAAACGATGGATACACGGTGATTATAGAAACTCTGTCGGCGCATCTACCGCAACCTTCGGCCACGTCATCCGACTGCAAAGACTGGAGCTTCAACTTTGACAGAGAGCTGGTGCATGAAACATGATCCTCGAGTACAACAAGCGGGTCTATTCACTGTCTGATGAGGCCTCTTAATGGGCCCAAAGTTGTCCGAACAATTTGTCAGTCTGAGCCACGATAATGCACAATTTTAAGCAAGCGCAGCAACCTCTAAATGTCCTACTTGTTTGGATTGCAGTTCTAGGTTATTCTTTGGATAAAGCTGATAAGTTAAACCTGAGTTTAAGACTGTAACTTAAACGTTCCTATGCACTTTGACTACATTTATCTTTAAGGACACAGTTTAGCTCAAGATAGGCTGACTTTGTAGACTGTATTCTCAAACAGACACTCGTCTTCCTTGACTACTTAAATGCTCTATGGTCTCATTTAATATGTACAATTGTCTGAGTCAGATTCTGACGCTTCAAAATGAAAATTAGTTTTACATTACAAATATCAACTTTAACTGAAAGTTACCCTGTTTCTCATTTACTGCCCCCTACTTGGGTGAAACTGCACAGCAGATGACATTACCATAATTTACAAGAGGGCTTGGTTCACAGTCAGTCAACATAACTTTAATTAATGCAATGATAAATATACCATTTCCTTGTGTTTCCTTCTTTGTATTTCCTTACAGTGGAAGAAATCATTTAATATTAGCAGATTTTTTTAACACCTTTGTGGATATCATACATGTTGAACTATAGTCCTCAGAGGTCCCATCATGTAGCTGTTTTTAACAAGACAGACATAAAAATGAAATTCTCAAAAACTTATCTGTATGCTCTACATATTCTGTGGTTTAGACGACGTAACTCAAGATTTCTGTCTTTATTTCCTTTTTTTTTTCTTTAACAACACTTGTGATAACAGAAGATAACACAAGTTATCACTTGTGTGGTAATGTCTCACATTTCCATTTCCTATTTACAATCACAAAAATCAGCAGTTAACAATCCTAAAGCTGCAACTCATTTAGAAACACAATCTTATAAAAGCTTCAAAAATTCTTTCAGTTCATTAAAAACTTTAAACTCATTCAATTTACAGTGTTCAGAATTCATTAAGATGTTTCAGTAAATCACTTTTTTTTGCAAAATAAGTAAAGCAACTCATTAAATCAGTGGTCTCCATGTGAAGTATGACGAGGCCTTTCTGCTTCAGACATCTTTCCAGCATTACAAAGACTGCACAAACCTCCTGTAGAAGAGACACGAGGGAACACAGTACACATGTTGTGGAAATGAAACAGATTTGGTTTAATCACTATGAGCACGATTAGTGTGATGTTTTCTCACTTTACGATTTCAGGCAGACGGGGGTCTCTGTATAAGCCGTTGTGCAGATATCCCAGAGACCCTTCAAATGTCACCAGCTTGACTCTCTCTGTATTCTGGGCATGCGCTGCCACCTCGTATGTCTGGGGGAGTAAAGAGAAGGAATTTCAGTTTACCTAAAACAAAAATGTTCCTAGAAGAGACATTAATTACTTACAGCTCTAATGAAAACACTGACTCATTTTCCTTTAAATGACAAGCAGCTGTCTGTGCCACTGATACCTGCTGAGCAACCTCAATGGGAACCAAGTGATCATCCTCAGAATGAAGGAAAAGTATGGGGCTTCTCATTTTCTTCAAACTGCAGAATAATAGAGCTATATCAAATCACAGCATTTTTCTAGTAATAACATTTTTAGCTTATTAACGTATTACATATCTCTTAATATTTCACTACTGTATGTACATAACCAACTTACTTTTCTTCAGTAGGAAAGACAAACTTATTATCTTCCCATGGTGCTCGGTATAAGTAACCAAGGCCTGGAAATTTCCAGTAACGCTTTAAACACAAAGAAAAAAGTCATTGTAAAGTCTGTTGTGATGCAGTAACACAGTCACATGAAATAAATACAGCAAATACTAAAAGTGGTAGGTTAGACGAGCATACCCAAGCAAAAGGGTTAAATGGAGGAATATTTTGCCGAACAGTATTGAATGCGCCTTCAAGGATCACCCCATCAAACACCACTCCTGAAAAGAACGGGAAACAATCACCATGTTGAGCTCACGTGCTCTTATGCCCAATTTATGCTTCAGCGGGAACTTTACATCATAGCCTACGACGCAACCTGACGTGCACCTTATAAGAAGCCAACACGTCTGGTCGATGTAGCCGCAGATATTGGGTTATATATTGGATTCCTCCTGTGCTGCTTTTCACTGCAGTCTTTGAATTTATCAGTGAGATAATAACAATCATCACCTCAGTATATGGAAAAATAATCTTAGCATCAACATGAGGACTCAGTAACTAATGGTTACCACGTGGTAACCATTAGTTACTGAACAGAATGGAGGGCACAAAAATAAATGTGGGGACAAAGGTTAAGTCGTAGGCTCTGCAAAGATTCCTCGCAGAAGTTTAAATCGGGCATTACTTCTATTTGCTTGATTCATTAGTAGCAAAACCTACCCTGCTCCAGAAGTTTGTCTGCAGTGTTAGTCACCACTCTGCACGGAAATACAGAAAAGCATTTTCAGTTTATCCACTACGTCACCTTCTCATCTCATCGATGTTGCCAGATTCATTACAGCTGTCGACTAATTTCAACCAAATCCAATTTGATTATGTTTTTTTAAAGAAATGCAAACTGGTTCGAGGTATCTTGTTTTGAGCATTATAAGGGTGAACCAATACAATGAAAAACAGCTAAATGTGCAACTACATTCATTTCAAAATGAACACGTTTGTTAAAAAAAATAACCTAGATATTAGAAAATGAACAAAAAAATTAGGTTAACATAAAAAAATAGACACTAAGCACCGAATTATCTCCACCTGGAAAAAGACAGAAAAGCTATTTCTCAATATGAAACGGGAAATATTCGATTCATGAGGGATCTGCGTTGCATAAAGCGTTTATCACTTGCCTATTCATAAGGCTTCCTCCGTTTCTATTCAGTCAGTCAGTACAGGTAAGGTTCCATAATTTGCTGCCTAGTGACAAAAATCTGAAGTACTTCCAAACAGGGATCTTTAGGGTGCCGAGCTGGGCTGTGAACTATCTGCCATCATTACCACACAGTTGCTGATGAATTATTCCAGATTTAAATTACCCTCCTGCCAGGCTTAAGCACCAGGAAATTATGTATTTTTAAGATGTTTTCTTTGACAACTGTTAACTTTGCTCATTAATGTTATTAGCCTCCTGATCCTGTTCATCATTTTTGCATATAAAAACAGCCTGGAAGAGTTGGTAGAACTAAAAATGCTATGGTGTCTCATCATTTACCTTCAGTTGTTCAGCTGATGGGTCCTGGTTAAGATCAGCAGCTTATCCTAAGCCTGAAGTAAAAAGAACTGTACCAACGCCATCCAGCTGCTTATATCAGGTTTTATAGTAGAAATCCAACTTTGCAGCCTATGCAGGACTTTTTTGCCCCAACAAGCAAATTTTACTTTTTACAGTCGAATGGCATTATTGCTTTCTGTCCAATTCGATAATGAAATTTAGAATAGCTCTTGACTGTTGCAGATTATTACTTCAATATTTTAAAAGGAAGAGGATGTGACAAGTATTCCAAACATTTTTTGGGAGTGTGTAAAGGTTTCCAAAATGCTGCACATCAGGAGTCTTTCCTTACTGACCCAGTGCCAAGAGAATGTCCCCAGATAACGACAAGGCTGTTTCTGCTGCGTTCTTTGACCCAGTTGTACACGCAGAGGAAATCAGTGGTCAGACCGGCTTCAGTTGGCTCTCCGGTGGAATCTCCAAAACCTGCCAGAGTTTGTCACATCATTTGCTATTCACGGTCACGTCAGAGAGCTGCTCTTGAGAGCAAAGCAGCCACAAGGTGGCAGTCACTTAGAGGAAAACCCTCATCAGACATTGACCTGAAGCTGAACTGATCTCTTTTGACTGCCTTACAACAAACAACTCATCAAGCGCAACAAAATTAGTTCACAGTGATTATATGTCTGCAAATGATATTAAATCAATGTGAGAAGGTTTTGCTTTACAATCAATACTAAGGCAAAAAAGCACTGAAATAGAAAATATGTTTAAATAAGAGTCATAAATCTTCATTTGTACCAACCTCTGTAGTCAGGCACTAGGACATGGTAACCAAGAGCACTCAATATCTGTTGACACATAACACTTATTTGTCATCAGAATGGCCACAAAGACCTTTTAAAAGATTAATATGTTTGTATTTGTGATCACTCACTTTTGCAACTCCCACCCGATGAGGAGCTGCCCTGTTGGATTCATTAAAAAAAAGCCACAGAGCCAAAAAATTGGTATTTTTTCCAAAGTGTGGAACCTCTACTCTTTGTATCTGCAGCTGTAATACAAATGCATTATTTATAATACCTCGTGCCTGTGTTTCCATGAAGATATATGAAAACTGGACTTCCATCGCTTAAAGTGTTTTGGTACCACGCCAAGTCTTTCCCCTGTGCCTCCTTCCACCGACTTTCAGGGACAGTGTGCCTTTGACGGTCAAAACAATGCACCGCTTAGAAATACAACCAACAACTGGATCATTAAAAAACAAGTGTTGTCCTTTAGTCTTAGGATTTTAAAAGCTATGCTAGGAAAAAAAAGAAAAGAAAAAAGTTTAACTTAGCTTATGCTCACCATACGCCGAGGGAAATTCCTTCCTCTGATGTTAAGTACATGTTGATGGTGTGATTAAGGGAGAAATCAGCAGGTCGGCTGAGGTCAACAAAGAATGGCAGGCTGACTATAAACAGGAAAAAAGAGAGGTGCTTTTTTTTTTCTGAGTAGCAAGCTAAGGATTTACAGTACATCCAAGCGGCAAACTGGATTTTCACATACTTCTGTGTGTGTAAACAAAGTGCTGAATTAATTCTGGAAGCATTTTCACCGAGAAAGGCACCACAACCAAGATAACAAAGAGGGCCAATAAGCCCCTTTTTAGCCACCCTTGGGACCTATAAGGAGACAGAAAAAAGACAGAAATAAAAACAATGTGACTGGAGACTAAAGATGGATATTGATAAGATCTTATTGATTGGCAATTCTGCTTATCGGACAGATTCTTCAACTATTCCTCCATTGATTCTTGTTCCACTGTCTTTGTGTAAAAGAAAATAGGCATACGCAGGTTTTCAGCATGTTCACCTGAGACTTAACACTGTGTACAAACAGAGTGGGAAAACACTGGCAAGTGACTCAAGGGGTGCAAAATCTCCATGAACATGACTCACTGTTTTTGCATCAGTCATATAAACATGAAAGCATTTACAAAAGGTATAAAACAGTCTGGAGGCGTACAATTTCAGTAGACTAGGCCGTTCCTGTTTGCACTGACACCGACTTTCTCTCTTTATCCAAAAATTATTATAAACTTCTGATGACTTTATTCCGCCTACCCCTAACTGTCCAATCTGTGTTAAAACACCAAATCAACACTACAGCAACACTAAAAAGTTTGGCTCCCACTTCTCCTCTTCATGACATCTAAATTCAGCTGCATCCCTGCAGACAGTTTGAATGACTCAGCAAATGTGAGAAGCATCAAGTGAGGGGAGAGGAGGACGGGGGTGTGGTGGATGAGTTTGTTGAGTGGTGCAAAAAAAAGTGCAGCTCTATTCAGGCAAGATCTGAGAAACAAAAGCCCCCCCCCCAAAAAAATAAATGAATAAAATAAATAAATAAAATCTCCCTCAGAGACACACTGAAGGGTCTGTGGACCAGGTTGAGCAGATGTACTTGGAAATGCTCACTTATTCCCACTGGTGTGCACCAAGCAGCTCTCCACATGTCCTATCAGTCTGTGGATGCAGCATTAATATAGAGACATTAATATGGGAGAGAAGAACTGAACGATCTAATCAAGACGGCAGGCTGTCATTGGAGTCAGTCTGGACTCCCTGGAGGCAACAGCGGAAAAAAGGATGCTATTCAGACTATTGCCAATTAATGGACAATACATCCCACCCCTTCCATTAACACTTTAATCAGCCAGAAGAGCCCTTTTAGTCAAAGACTGATCTCTCTGTACTGCTCGGGGGAAACATCTAGGAGGTCACTTGTTCCAAAAGCCATCACTATCTAAAGTTAACTCCTTGAATTTATTATTCAAATCTTTTCTGAAAAAATAAAGTTCACTGCAGATTTTTAATTAATCACCTCTCTTTTTTCCTGTTTATAGTCGGGCTGCCATTCTTTGCAGGATGACGCAATGCAACCTTTGTTTTACTGGGCAGTCGCTCTGTAGAAGATGCGTCTGTTAGTGATGTTATATTTTCACATTTTCAAGACACTTCCAGTCCCTGACACAGTTTAGTTTTCAACAACACTACAGGAATTCCTGTACTCTGGGAAAATGATTCACTTGTATTGTTCCACTAGTTACTGTATTGATCTGTAGACCATTATGCAAGACATATTTTCAAATGTTTACAACAACGCCCTTTATGAGTTTTTGATATTGTTGTCTTCGCTAAATGCGTTTGCTCAATGCTTCAATGTCCATTTAGCTAGCTAACAACCTATCAACTCTATTATGGTCTAGTAAAAGCGTGCTTGTAGTAGTAACACCATATAGCGTCATGTAGTAAAATGCCTGTCCTGCGCTTACAAACGTGTAACAAACGGAATAATAAACTACACGCGAAAACTGTCTTAGTGCAGACTGCTAGTGGACTTTTAATTCCACAAGCCGTTAAAAGGTAAAAGCTAATGCAGTAAGGTAAGCTAGCTAACTCACTGTGGTGACCGTGTCCCCTCCTTCTTCTTGGATTTGGAAGTCCGCTGTACCCCGCTATTGTGGGAGGATGGCTCATTCTGTTTAACGTCCCGTCTCTTCATTATTTAATGTCAGTTATATTGAACAAAAGGAGACTTTATCTATACAGCTAAACGTCTGGGACAGTTATATGGCTCGCAAGGAACTTCAGCAAACTTTGACCGAAGTCCGTTCAAAGACCTGATTCGCGGTGAAAGGGCGGTGCCAGAGGCTGTTAAGGTAGCACAGGTTTGCACTACAAAGCACAATATATGTTACACACCTTAAGACAGCAATCTATACAGCTCGATACAGTCTGTGGCAAGGGGTGTCAAACATCAGGTCCGGGGTCAGAAGCAAGAGTCCAGTCTGGCTCTCTGCAAGGCTTTGTGAACAGGGGCATAAAGCTTTTTAAAGCTTTTCCTCCTAATAAAAACCTGCGTCATGGCCATTCACCACAACCACAAAGTAATTAAGTGATAGATAAACAACTAAATGATAGAAAAGGCCCAGTTCTTTCACTATCTACTAAAAAAAGCATTTAAAGGAGAGTTTGGGCAAAATACTTCCTAAAATTAAGTATTATGTAAGTACTCTTCGGGAATACTTCTCCAGGCTACCTGAAGTTCCCCAACATTACTGACTGAAATGCAGCCCCAAAACACTGCAGAGATTTAGGGCTGTAGACATTAACTGTTATCCCTCTCTCTTTACCTCCCTTGCACATATTGATCACTAATTGAACCAATAATTTAAAATGTGGATTCCTCACTCCATAAGACATGCTTCTTGTGTAATTTGACGCACCTCAGCCTTTCCTCCCTGTTTCTCATCATTAACAATGGCTACTTGCCTGCCAGCCTTCCACTGAGAGCATTTTTCATTGATCAACTGAAGGGCCAGATGCATCTTTCAGGTCCTGTGTCAGGTCTTTCCTGACGTTTTATGTGTTTCATGAGGACATGATTTTCTGATCCAGTATTTTAGACCTGACACTTCTTCTTTTGCCCCACACTTGTCCAGTATTGTGAGACTTATTTAATAGCGTGCTGAACACCGTGTAAAACGTTTTCAGCTAAGAGCCCTTAGAGAATCTCATTGCTGGTGCAAAAACATTATTTTATGTCTGTCAAACTGTGTTATCTATTGCATTTTTTGTAGATTCAGCTAAAGCAATGAGAACATATCATGTGTTATGATACAGGCTGCTAGTGATAAAGAGCCAAAAGATACCATTTAAAATTGTTTTTTTGATAAGTGTGCTAAGTTATGCGCAGACAGAACTCCAGTCCATCCTTTGAGTAAGTTTATTTTAATGCTTGAATGATTCATAGATCAGCATTAAGTGACAAAACAAAACAAAACCTTTGAAAATGGCCAGCTACAAGCACTGGACTGAAACTGACAAGCCTGGAAAGCTACTGCTCAGGACCACTTTAAAATATAAAATATAAGATGCAAAAAAGAAAAAAGAAAGAAATAAAAACAGATTTGCAATCCACACCAAAAACACTAGTGCACCCTTGGGAGCATTTACTGATCACCGACAGTCTGGGAGGTTTCTATACTGCAAGAAATATGTTTTAGATTTTTGGCAGCAGTCACATTGGTGGTGTGTTTGGGAGGAAATGTCAATAAAAACCTTCATGGGGAAAACCTTCACGAAGAACTGTCTGGAGGGTTAATATAAGCTGGGATTAATGCATCAAGCTTGACATGTTCTGGATCAGATAACACATTGAAACCACACAGCGTGCACAATTATTGGCGCACTTTGACTTTGTCATTATTTCTATATGCCTATTTTCCAGCTCTGCATCAGATGAATGATAATGATGATGAGGCCTAAAGTGATCCACACCTTGTATTAAGTTGCAGGATTACCTCAGCTACACTGGAGCACAACCACCTCTGAGTAAGAGTTCTCTGTGCTGTTGTAGGGTTCTCTGGTCAAGCCTTGCTCTTGCACTGAAAGTCGTTGTTGTTGACTGGCACTGTATAAATACAACTGAACTGAATCAAAATACATAAAGACACGGGCTGCTGTTACTGCACATCATTACGCATGCATCAAAGCAGTTCACTGTGTATTGTCACTAAGCCAGCACACCTCTCTGAAGAGCATTTGGGAGTCTGCAGTTGCTGTCTTAGTGAAAGTTGACTCTGAGATGAAGAAACGGACACTCCATGATTCAAAGGCTTATGACAGTTATTGAAATGAAAAATTGCTAGGATGGTGGATGCTCATATTATACATGGCCAAAGTTTCAAATAATGAGGTGGGTGTATCCTCTATGAGCCAAAAGCTGGGGCTTCATAGGGATCTAAACATTCTTTTCAGTCATTTTTTTCTACTCTTGGCTCCATTAATGTGGTCATCTAAAGCACTCAGCTCTGGCTGTGAGCACAAGCCACTTTCTTTTCTTTTCTGTGGAAGGAACAGCCATTGAAGACAAAGTTGGTTTAAAGTGATGGGGATTGCATTCTGTTTTTTTTATTTTTTTATTTACCTTTTACACAGCAACCCAACTTTTCTGGAATTGGTTTGTAATTGTACACATTTCTATTTCTAGAGAGAAAAAAAACCCTCCTTGCAATGCATTTGCTCAACAACAAAGTTGTGACAGCAGTTTTTTTTATTTCACATCTTCTTTACATTAAAAAAAATCCCCAAATATCATACATTTTCCATCACAACAATCTGAAAGCCTGAATGATGTGGCATGAAAAGGACACTTGA